TCTCTCTCTCTCTCGTACGTAAGTAAAGAAAATAAAACTAAACTAAATAATACTCTCTCTCTCTCTCTCTCGTACGAAGAAAGAAAATAAAACTAAACTAATATACTCTCTCTCTCTCTCTCTCTCTCTCTCTCTCTCTCTCTCTCTCTCTCCACAGTAACTCCATGAACGCTAAAAAAACCAGATCTTTAAAATTGCAGAAAAGGAGTCAAATCGGCTGAGTAGCAGCACACATCTTGTATTTAGCAGATGACCAAAAAGATTACATCTTTTCCAGCAAAATACTTTTCATAACTACCAAAAGAAAAGGCCTTATCAGAACCAGAGTAGGAAAAGAAGTACCTGGCCCCTCATCACTACTTCCAAGATCACCCAAAAGAAACACGTCCAAGTCCAGCTCAGTAGACGGGCCCTTTTTCAGACTGCTTGGATTGGTCGTTTGCACTTCAGTAGGTCTTCTCGACTCAGTTTCTTCTGGTTTCTTCTCTTGTTGTTTCAGCTTTGCCTCTTCCATGGCACGCATTTCATACCTAAGGAGAAAAATTAAATGGAAGTACATCAAATCTGTTAATGAAGGAACCATACTGCCTTGAGCAACATTAATGCAACTTTCCAATTATGGAAAAAATGTACAAAACCACAAGTGCCAAAGAACTGACAATTAATCACATATTTCGAAACCTATGATCTTCTTGATAAGAACAAGTTGGTGATCACCCTCAGTGGGGCCTGCTTACGGTTCGGCTAAGTGGCTATAACTGAACTGAACCCATTCTTTGGAGGCCATACTTGAAGTTCTAACAAGAGACCAACTGAAGATAACTCAATGTGCACGAAGACACGCGTTGATGTGTGGGTGTCCCTCTTCTTCTCTCTAAGCACTATATGTACGTCTTTGTTTATCATTTTGACGGCATCTTGAAATTTCTCAAACGAAACACTAAACTACCAAAGCAAAATATTTATAGACATATGGATTTTTATAATAACTATAAATTTAAATTATATCGTAACATGTAAATTCATTCAACAATTTATTAATTATGTAACACCAGTGGATTAATTCTGCCTTAATATGTAACAAGTATAATGATTTTCTTTTTCTTTTAATATGTGAGTAGAGTTGAAATTATGAATATAGTAATGAGTACAACTGATTTTAATTTCACATCTTTTGTTTTCTAGATTTTGTTTCCATGGAAGCAAAAGAAAAGGTTGAAGAAGTCATAGAGTTGCAAGACAAGAAGTTTTGCTTTTGACTGGGCCCCTGGTCGAGCTTCCACATTAAAAGCATACAATTGGATATGAAATCGAATTGCAAGGTTGGATGCCAGGAAGAAGCCAAGTCCTCTACTACAAGTGAGAGATGTAGCAGATATCTAGAAATAGTGAGGCTGCAGGAAGTCAGTTGCGGTAAGAGCTATAAAGGCAGGTGGTTGACAAAGCGGATTTGACGATACGAGGCTCTACTAACTGTCAGCAGAAGTTATGAAGTGTAATATTCTCACCTATCAATACTGATCAGGAGGCTTCTCATAGACACTGACCTGAGAGGACAAGACTAATCTCCATTGCATGTCATGTAAAAACAAACTTGCTTTGCCATCTATTCAATCATAAAGCATAGCGGTCATCATTCTATAATTTTATTTTTTGCCTTCTTTTCTTTTTCTTTGTAGCCCTTACACATTAACCTCCATACCAAGTTTAGTGGGTTAAATATAACATTTATTAATATCAAGTGCAATTACGTGTGGACATAATTATGAAATGTCAAAGACCATATATCACCAGGTTAGCCTAGACTGCATTCATCAATATGAAACTTGCATCACTTTGCACCAACCCATTACAGAGAACTCTATTGCTTGAATATACCAAAGTCCAAACACAACTTCTAGGCAACAAAAACCAACATGACTATTTTTAGGCTCAGCGACTTACGGGTGCACATGACTTTTGACAAGCAAAAAGTATATCCTCCAAAACTTCCTTTCTTTCATATGTCGGGGACATAATGAGTATCTAAATTGTGAAATTTCCTGCAAGCACATGTCAAAAGAAAATGTATTGTCAAAAGTAACTAGTGTGAATTGAGTAATGAACATCAAATTAAAACAACAACTTAAAAAAAAAAAAAAAAAATCTCAATTTAACTTTGAGACAAGAAAGGACTCTTAGAATGCAATTAACACATTGAAATCAGTTCCCAATGTAGAAATTCATTAAAGGCTCCTGAGCAGAAAATTATTCAGCGATACCCCTGAATTCCGATGAACATAAACAATTATGGTTGATTATGAGAAAAGGTAAGTAAGAAATTAATTTCTTGACAAAGACAAAGTCAAGAAAGGAAGAAGAAGAAGAAGAAGAAAAAAAGTACAACTATATCTATTACTCTTAACTCTGTTATTCCCAAACCCAAATGAGAAAGGAGGAGGGTTGTACTAGGTTGGTAGCTAGCGTAAAACTTTTGCGACATCATCATCACCATCATCATAGCCTTTTGTCGGCTATATGAATCCTGGTTTGTCATTCTGCTCTATTAAAGGTTATACCCTCAGTGAATCCATAAGTCCTCATATCATTTGTACCATCATCATCATCGTCAAAGCCTTTCTCAACTAATCGCAGTCAGCTACACGAATCCTGATCCGCCATTCTGCTCTATTAAGGGACAAACCTTCAGTGACGCCATAGGTCCCCATATCTTTTCTCACTACTTCCAACATGTCCTTTTGAGCCTACCCCTTGCCATTTTGAGCCTTTCACTAAAATCAATTCGCAACTCCTAACAGGTGCTATACTGGGCTTGTGCCATACATGGCTAGTCCATCTAAGTCTTCTCTCTCATCTTATCGACTATTGGTGCCACTCCTAAATTTTTTCAAATGTATTTATTTTGAATTTTATCCCTTCTTGTCTCACCACTCATCCAACATTCCGCCCCATAGAGCAAAGTTAGTCTCATAGTTGTCCTATAGAACTTGCCCTTCAGCTTCATTGGTAATACAATGATCACATAAAATTCCAGTTGCACATGTCTACTTAGCTCACCCAGCTCTAATTCTATGTGTGACATCTTCCTCAATCTTTCCATTTTCTTAAATTATCGACCCAAGATATTGAAAGTATGCTCTTTGTAGTAATTCCTAGCCATCAATCTGAACTACTTCTTCGTCTCTACTCCTATTATTACTAAATTTGCGTTCAAGATAGTCATAAATCCTGATAACCAACCCCAAATAGTTGGAATAAGGTTTGGATGATGATGAACGATATCTATTACTCTCAGAGACACACCGTAAAGCCCTACACTATAAAAAATAATTTCAATATTTTGGTTGGGTCCCTACATGATGAAAGGAAGAAAGGAAGGGAAGCAGAAAACATGGCCGCATAGTTTCTATTGACAAGAAACTAGAAGTTTCACCAAAACAACAATAGTTCTCAAAGACAATAGCATTTTCACTGTTTTTTTGGGAATTTTTTATCAAAACAAACTGAAATTTTCAACAATTTAACAGTTTACCTTTTTTCAACTATTCCAACTCGTGAACATATGTATTTTGATGATATTATGTATTAAATCCAAATATATGGGTAAAATGTTAAATAGTTGACTTCTTATGTGTATTTTGATTAATTTTCCCTTTTTTCATTTGCAATGTTAGCATTTCACATCTAAGCAACTGCAAAATTTACAATAGGATTTTAAAAAAACCTTTACCATTCAGTTATGATGGAAACTCGTAGGTGCTTAACTTGTGTGCTGGTTTATATCGATAAAAACTCCTTGCATACTTGTAAATACAAAACAACAGACCCATCGAAAGTATAACAATAAGACATGATATTATACATTATGATATGGTATATATGTGTTAATGTGATGGATGCAAATATTTATGTATTAACAAGCTCGAATATATATGGGATTGTATGCTATAAATCTATTTACCTTTGGTATAAGGAGGTCACGATCACCCCTCGCCATCAGATGTGAAATCTGACAGCTTAAGACATGTCACAAAGTCAAAATAATTTCTTTTTGGACCCATGGTACACCTGCAGCCACCTAATTTCATATCCAATGGCCAACGGTGATTGTGACCTCATTATATCAAAAGGTAAATGGTCTTACGGTACACTTCTCCAATATATATTTATTCAATGTGTCGGATAGGACACTCATATCCAAATCCATGTCCACGTCCACGTCCACATCCAGGACTCTATCAGTATCCATGTTTGGGCATCTTGCCTCTCATAGTGTCCCATTTTCTTGTAATTCTTTTGAGTTTTCTAGAAATCCATAGGAGCACAAATGCATATAACAAGTTATTTATATTACTCACTAAAAAAATTGGAACCCATATCTTGCTACAATAAATTAGTTCTAAGGTCTTTCTTCATTAGTTTGGATCTTTATCTAACTTAGTCAGAATGTTCTTCTTGTGTGATGGGATACTTTTGACTGAAATATCCTTGAAATGGTTCTAACTCCAAAATTAGAACGCCTGAAACAGAAGATACATCACCAAAAATGAGTTTGTGCAAAGTATGACAGCCATTTAGTAACAATTGAGAACATATGCAAGTGTATCTACAAAGTGGGACATGTCAAGAGAAAGATGACTTCGTGGAGCACCATGACACCAAAAATCAAACCAGGACAAACTCCCAGTGCCTACCTCGAAATTTTTCCTTACTTAAGATGTTACCTGAGGTAGAGAGACAAGAAGCTAAAGACCGTGATTGTGCCACAAAAGTGCAGTCATTCATCAGTCACTACACATATCTGCGCCCCATTCGTGCAAAATGAAACAGGATGAGACCATACATCTATACACCATGATAGGCCACTATTACTTGCAGCTCATTTGTGGTCATTCCTTAAAAAACAATTTGTCAGAAATCTTATTCTTAATCATGCATGGATTATTCTTTTGATTCCAAGAATGATGGGACATGATTTTTTTCCCAATTCCTGGATATATTACAAGGCTAAAATGCAATAGAATAGACAAACCTTAATTACCAACAAAGAGAAACTGGGTTTCACATCAGAAAGCAAGAATCCTCAACTCTTTATTGAACCTATAATCTAGGGATCTCATTCTTATGTAATTCAGGCACGTTCCTTGAAAGATAATAACAACTTTTACAAGTTGTTCAGGGCAGTATACTTTTATGCTGGGCAAATGCAAACACAAAAAGGAAAACTAGGGGAAACAGGTTTCAAACGAGAAGCGATGGTCTAAAACTCACCAATCCTGAAATAGAAGAATGACTACCTTAACAGATGAGAGAACAAGTGTAGCATGCTTAGCCTGCCATTCTGTAAGATCCTGTCGTACATTCGAGACAGTTGGGACATCGGATGTCAGTTGTTCATCTGCACCACAAACAGAACAGTAGTGTTCAAGCCACATGTAAAGTATGACCAATAAATATGTCATGCATGTATAATAGAAAACAAAGAAAAGGTGTAGTAAAACAGTAATGTTCAAGCCACAAGTAAAGTATGACCAATAAATATGACATGCATGTATAATAGAAAACAAAGAAAAGGTGTGGTAAAACCTTTCAAAACAAATGCCTTGGGAGGACCTAATAAGCATTAGTCTTGACTCTTGAGAGGCCATCAATTTTGAGAAATTGTTACAAAACTTGATGCCTATCAGAATTTAAGTTACACACAACCTACCATAAGAACATGTATGCAAAAAAAGAAAAAAGAAAAGAATGAAGATAAGCATTTTGGTTATATTGCATTTGAGTTCCAATTCACATCAGGAAAGGATTCCAGTTGTCCAAATAGCACAATTTCTTTGTTTCTCTTTTTTTTTATTTTTTAATATAAATTTCCTAAAAAATCCCTTTCAAAACATATTCTATACAGCTTTTTTGTTTTAATTTTAGTATCACATATGATATTTAAGAGCTTATTAATCTAGTCTGTTTGAGAGGTTTTACTTTAATCACATGAAGCATCACTCCCTAAAACCACATTACTTCACATCTTCAATAACCTACAGCTGGTAAACTCCACAGATGTAAATATCAAGGCAAAACCACTCGTGACTTCCTAATATTCAAAGGACATTAGAGAGATACCATGTAATCTAGGTCAACTAAGTGAAATGCCAGAAAAAACGAAGTATCAGGCACAAGCACTTGAACCAGCCACCACCCTAAACATATGTCTTTAAATATCCTGAGATAACATGTATCCAAAGGACCATGTGTAAAGCTTGAACTTCTCATAACCAGTAATGCATATCTAACAAGTAAATCATGTGTAATCCAATACGACCACTACATCAATACGTGATGAGAAGAAATGTAAATTCAAACTTTACTAAGTGTTCATTTTCTGCCATCACAACTTAAAATGCGGTTGCCTAGTGCCTTGCTTTGATGTCATTGACTGGCACCTCGCAAGGGTAAGAAAACATAAGCATAAAAACAAATAAAGAAATGAACAGAAAAAAGAAACACAAACTTTGCACTACATGTGCATTGCCATTATCATCACCTAGGGCACACATTAGAGAAAAGGAGAATAAGAAAGTGAAAGAACATTGTCCAGGAAAATAAGTTTATGTCATTGTTGTTTGGTCAATGATAGCCATCAGAATCAATAGCATTCCAACCCAGAAAAAAATTTAAAGATTAAAAAAGAGTGATATCAATGTTGAATGTTAAAGTCTAATTTACTTCTCATAGAGCAAGAAAAAATTCACAAAAAATAAAGACACAAAAAGAAACTCAAATGTAAAAGGAATTTAAATGAGATAAACTCACCGTCATTGCTATCCAAGGGGAAATCCCTAAAGGTGTCAAGTGTCAATCCCTTGACAAACTCTCTAAGATCATCAGTTACACCATATTTCTCAAGATCTTCACCGGATGGCTGCAATTCACCGCGAGATAAAACAGGGATGGGAGAGGGGATACCGTCTGCAAGAGATTTGATTTTGTCAGCCCCTTTCACTGCCTCGATTTTGATTTGATCTGCTTTTTTTGTGACCTCAACTGCAAATTCCTTTGACTTCTTTGCAGTTTCTAACACGATCTCTTGTGAAATCTTTGCTGCTTCTTTTGCTATGTCCTGTGATTTCTTTGCTGCTTCGTTTGCTATGTCCTGTGATTTCTTTGCTGCTTCTTCAGCCAAATTCATCGCCTTTTGAAACCAGAGATCCATAGATAAGCCCTAGATTCACTGCTTCATTGGCAATAGAAAAACATTAAAAACAAGGAAATGGAAGAAGAAATTTCGCCGATCTGGAAATGAATCAGGAGGATATATGGCAGTAAAGGATCCCGATCAAAATTAAAGTCGAGATTTTTAAAAGACTCAAAATTATGCAGAATTTCTTAGTTTCTATGCACTGAAGAGAAAACCAGAACTCTTCTACTGGTTATCGAAATTCAAATGCTCGATATCCACAATGGGATTTGCGGTTAAATAAATTCAACGTAAATGCATGAATAGACAGCAAACACCAAAAAAAAAAAAACCCAAACTTCAATCAAAATTCGGAAAATATAAGAACTTCACTCCCAGATAGGAAAATGGACCCAAAATTTTATTACGAGGAAATCAAAGCCAAACTTCAGTATGAATACACAAAAATCAACAGTCGAAGAGTCTATGAAGTTGAGATAAAACCCTGCGATCGGAGCCGACGCAATAAACCCTAGATCAGGTTTAAAAGGGTGGAGATCATAAAGACAATCTGAAACAGAGAAAGCTTAGGTTAATTGAAATTAAAAATAACAAATGCTTACATTGCAAATTGGTACAACTTATCTATCACGATCAAAAGAACTGATTAATAGATGAGAAACCTAAACAAATTAAATTTGAGTCAAATGCAATGAAGAAATAGAGTCAAGCAAGGGATGAGAGCACACCGTAACCGTAAACTAATAATTGCCAAACAAAAAAAAAGAAGAGAGAAATCCTTAAAAAGTGATAATCCAAAAGATCTTTTGATCCCGCGAGAGTGTACTATCCATCTACTACCTCGGCAAAACTTACATTTGGATTTTGGAATATCTTTTGGATCCTAAATTTTGGAGTTGTGATTCCTAGAACAGGGCAAATTGACTCAAAAGAAAAGTAAATAATTAATTCTCACTAGCTATGCACCTAAAACAATCGTTACATTAGAACCATTTGATTTCTTGAGAGAATGGCACAGGTGTTCAATAACTTAAAATTCAAATTTTTTTCATTGAAAATAATTATATAGTTATAATTAGAAGGATCCTGTAATTAAAAAAGAAAAATAAAAAAAAAAAACACCCAAGCAAGTGTTTTGCCTAGGAGAGTAAATGTGCAGTATACTTCAGAGGGAGCATCGTATGTGAGCTTCATTTTACCAGTATTAATATACCAGTTGTCTTTTCCTATTTTTCTTCACAAATATTTTTTTAGTTTTTATATGAAATTTACTTGATCTTTCTTTCCATTTTCACGCTCAAAGGCATAATGTCCGTACTTCATGCCACTATCATATTTAATGGAAAATTTTCGATATCTTTGTTTATCATGGGGACAAGTGAACCCAGACCGGACCAAAAAATATAGTGTAGGATATGTACCCCGGATCCAACGAAGACCCCACCCAAAAATTAAAGAGTGCGGTTTGTATAGAGCTGAGGCTCTAAACAATCAAACGTAACGCTCACTTTCAAATAGTGTCAAACAATGTAGGTTCAATATTAGAAATTTTTGTGATAGCTTTAAAATATATTTTCATCTCTAATTATAAAATTTAAAGCTTTAAAAATAGTGTAAATCAAACAAATATAAAACTTTGAAAATCTTGAAAATTGACCATCCAAAAAAATTTATTATTTTCAAAACTTGAAATCTATTTTTTTCTCATGCTCATGCATCTTAATGTCGAGATGATCAATTTAATCATATTTGGGCATCAAAATAACCTCTTCTAGTAAATTTTTTGATGTAGGCTCTAATTTGATTGTTTAGAGCCCCAGCTCTTTATAAACTTATCCTAAAATTAAAATATCAATATATTTAACTGTATTTAACATTAAGACCTAAAAAATAGTACGAGACCCAGACCTAAATAGTGTTCAGGTCTAAGATTTGGACTTAAATCCAATCCGTCAGGTCCAATTTTCTAGACATGGATCGGGTCTACCCCTCAGGTCCTGGGTCGGATCCGGGTCCATTGCCACCCCTACTCGTGGGAGTATACTCTCTATTTACCCACCAAGTATAAATACCTTTAACATATGAAATTTTGGGATCTAATCCCTGTATCCTATAAGATGTAAGAGGGGTGAGCACCATAAACTTAACCTTAACTCGTTCCATGCCGGGTAAAAGAGGTAAGTTGTATTAGGTGAGCAGCTAATATAAAACTTTATCAAACAAACATTCGATGAATCCTGAACCTCCACTATTTGCTTATGTTAGGGCATTCCCCGAAAGCGACGTGCTCCTTAATAGAGTAGAATGACTAACGAATATCGTATAGCATATTCTAAATAATTGGAAAAAGGATCTGATGATGATAACAATAATAATTCTCTATAACCTAAAACTAAACTCAATAAAAAAAGATTTATGAAATAAACTCTCCATGTACTAGAAACAAAATAATACCTCAAGATTGAATAGAGACCATCCAAATTTTAAAGAGCTGGATCTAAGTGTCAAAAAACTCAAAATTCAATTATTAGTTTTAAATAATCATCTAGTAGTTCTTATGTGGTTCCCAAAATTTTAGAGTAGAACAATATTTTTAAATAAGTATTTTGCGTGAGGAAGTACACACGCATTATGCTCATGCAGGGGCATAGCGTATGTGCAAAAGGTTCTTCCTTCTCTTCATCTGCAACACCTCGTCTTTTTTCCCTCTGCCACTTGCACTACTTACATGTTTATCATCTTTTCGTGTCAATTTACTATGATCCAGATAATCATTTGAATTATAATTCAATTGTTTTCATGGGTTTGGGCTAACTCAATAGTTAGCGAAGATAAAATTCCTTAATTACTTTACGGTATGTTTGGATTTTGGAGCAACGTATATTTAGTTTTTTTAATTATTTATTCATTATCAATTTTTTCTCAATTTTTTTAATTTAGTTCAATAAAACTATAATTCAAAAAAAATAATTTGATGCATATAGATTCGGGATTATCTATAGTAAGAGCATTTACCGGTTGTACAGGGAGGTACCAATTACTTACCACCATCCGATATGAAATCTTATAGCTTAGGTGTGTCATAAAATTCAAAAAAATTTCTTTTGAACTTTGAGCTTGGTCAATGAAATAAATGCAGCCACTCAATTTTAGTGAAATTAATTGTGACCACCTTATATCAAAAATAAAGCGTCTATTTATATATTTTTTCTATACATTTTTATTTATGTGAGTAGATTAAAATTCAACCCTCAAAGCTTGAAGATTTCAATCTCTCTAAATGATGTTTGTAATATATCTCATGCTTTCTATGTGAGACAGCTTAGAATTTTTTTTGAAAAAGCTGAAAATCATTGACCCCTTGATAAATGATGAACTAGCTTTCATGATGTTTTCGTTAAACCCCTCGGGTCTTTCCATTGTCATGGCGTCAATCCACCTTCATCTTGCTCGACAAGACCTTTCTCTACAAAGCCGTAAATCTTGTGAACCCGAGAGGATTTCCATTTGAATGCTCCAATTACCATTGTTATTTTTATTTGGATGAAGAATTTGAAAAGATCATGGAAGCCATTACACTAAATTATGAAAGGCCGACGAATGTGATATTGTCGGGAGATATATTTTTTTATTTTTTTTCTTCACTCCTTTTATTTTGTTTTTATTTTCTTTTAACAAATATCACTTACAAGTAGTCTTATTACAATAACTCACACTTCAAATAAAATAAAACTGTCAAATCCAAGATCTTAAAAACCTTGATACCATTAAACCAATTTTCTTTAAACAAAGAAATATCCACAATTTTTATGCTTGAGAATATAAAGACAATATAACTAAATATAATAATAAACAAAAAAAGAGTGACAAATATTATCTTAACCGGGATTATTACACCCCACACCGAGTCACCACCATCAGATGGCACGGGATCAACTTTCAATCTCAACCGAGAAAACAAGTTTAGGCCAAACCCTATAATGGAATTATGAATTCAGTTATCATAAATCTCAAACCCTTAAATGAATCTCCTTAGCAGCTTAGTTTGAGAGATATACTTCTCTTTCCTACCACAACCCTATAGTCTAAAACCCCAATGAGAGATGAGATGGTTGAGAGAACTACCATGAGAGAGATATCAAAGATGAAAGAATAGGGTGTGCCCCTTTGGGTCTCTTAAGGGAGAGAGAAAACCTTTCTTGAGAGAGAGGGGGATATTCTAAGTAGGGTGTGCCCCCTTTGTGAAATATGAGAGATAGATATGGGAATTAGGTGTATGAGATAAGGTGTAGAGAATTTGGGTAGGTATCAATCTCATTTTTATAGTGCTTGAACAAGATTAGGGTTTACCAATAAGATTAGGGTTTCTTAGGGTTTACCTTGGCTTTCCTCTTCTTGTGAGATTGAATATAGACCATTGATCTTGGGTGACTTATGAGGTGAGATTGAATATAGCCTTCCATTATATAGATGAGTTATCAACATTATAGAAGGTTCTAGAACATTTATCTCTCATTCCTAAACCATTTTTCCATCAATAAAAATTAAATTAAATAATTATATTAATAATATAGTGCTTACTAAAATTATGTACAAACCTTCTCATGATTTCCAAAAATCCTTTGAAAGCTTCCACAATGCAAAATCTTTCCAAAACACTTCAAAGCTTTCTCTTCAAGCCAAAGCTTGTACTAACACAAGGAAAATTTCATTAGGGTGGGGTGTACCACCCTAGGTGGTACTTTATGGGCCCCACCCACATGCAATGATGGGCCCATTAACATATTGGGCATCTCATACAATATTAAAATTATTAAGATTAATTATATGATTTTTAGAAATCCATAGAATCAAATTTGAATATTTAAATCAATCTAAAATCAATATGTCTTTATAAATCTTTGATAATTAAATATCAAAAGATCTAGAAAAATACAAATAATAATTTAAAAAATCATATATCATTAAAAAAACATAATTCAATTCATTAGATGGGAAAAAGGTCCACATGGTCTAGGAATTAAATAACTAAACGCTGGGACACTCTACCTTCAATTGTAGACTACGGTCCACAATTGCTTTATCAAACTGATCTAGTATTTTTCATGACCCACAGTCTATGCAAAGGCTCATTAGTAGAATACCAAAGTCTGGTCAATGAACCAATAGGTCATAATCCCAATTTGTGGATTCCAGGTTCTTCCCTAGAAACGAACTAAAATAACATAGACCTGATGCGACCACAGCTCCTATGGCATATAGATTTATCTCTCGTACATGCATAAGCTTCACCCTAAAAAGTGGTTCGCTTTCTCGAAATGGCTATCATTATGCATGTCGTGTAATGGCTCGGGAATGAGGCTTTGGCCCCCATCTCTGAAGGCCACCATCACACGACAAGGAAAAATGGCAGCGTCACGTTATAGTTATATATAGTATCGAAAGCCGGTCGCTGAGGGAGGGAGAGCCTTTCAATAGGAGCCCAACTTCCTTCAGTCGCAAGCAAGCCCTACTAAACTAAAGTAACGCGGAGCGGCTTCGCGAACCTTTGGTATTTAAGTAGGGCGAGCAGTTTGAT